TGGGGCGCGGTTGGCCAGTGGAGACGTCGCAGAGGAGTGTAGCGTTGGCCGCGTCAAACACCACATCTTCCATGAGCAGTGCCGTGGGGGCCGTCCTGTAGGCTTGCACCTCGGTGTCCGCAGTCTGATCCCCAGCCATGGCTGCGTAGTCGAGGCCCAAGTGGACGGAGCCAGTGACCGCCCGGGAGAGGCAGTCGGCGACGAAATTGTCTTTGCCGGCTACGTGCTGAATGTCAGTGGTGTACTCCGAGATGGCAGAGAGCTGACGCTGCTGTCGACCAGACCATGGCTCCAAAGACTTGGCCATGGCGAACGTCAGCGGCTTGTGGTCAACGAAAGCCGTGAACCGCCGGCCCTCCAATAGGAAACGGAAATGACGGGTGGCGAGGAAAAGACCCAGGAGCTCCCTGTCGAAGGCGCTGTATTTCCTCTCGTTGTCACGGAGCTTCCTGCTGAAAAAGGCCAGCGGCTGCCAGCCTCCGCCCACCCACTGTTCACACACAGCCCCCACGGCGTAATCAGAGGCGTCCGTAGTAAGAGCAACTGGGGCTGTTGGAGACGGGTGTGCCAGCAGAGCAGCGTTGGCCAGCGCGGTTTTGGCAGCATCAAAGGCATCAGTCATCTCTGGGGACCACTCCAACATGTCCGCCGGCCTCCTACCCCGCAAGGCGTCATACAAGGGTCGCATGAGTTGGGCCGCATGGGGGAGGAAACGGTTGTAGAAGTTCACCATGCCCAAGAACTCCTGCAGGGACTTCACAGTGCGTGGGCGTGGGAAACTGGCGACGGCGTCCACCTTGGCAGGGAGGGGGACGGCCCCCTGCGGGGTGACGTGGTGGCCGAGGAAAGTGATGGCCGACCGGCCAAACTCGCACTTGGCCGGGTTGATGATGAGACCATGCTCACTGAGCCGGCCGAACAGCTGCCGGAGATGCGTCAGGTGATCGTCTGCGGACGCGCTGGCCACGAGAATGTCGTCCAAATAAACAAACAGGAACGGCATGTCCCGCAGCACGGAGTCCATGAGGCGCTGAAACGTCTGCGCTGCACCCTTGAGGCCGAAAGGCATCCGTAGGAATTCGAAAAGGCCAAAGGGTGTGATGACTGCTGTCTTGGGGACATCCTGCGGGTGGACAGGCACCTGGTGGTAACCGCGCACCAGGTCCACCTTTGAAAAGATGGTGGCGCCGGCTAGGTGGGCGGAGAAGTCCTGTATGTGCGGCACTGGGTACCGGTCGGGGGTGGTGGCGTTGTTCAGGCGACGGAAATCACCACAGGGACGCCAACCGCCATCAGCCTTGGTCACCATGTGCAGGGGGAGGCCCACGGGCTGTTGGAGCGGCGCACGATGCCGAGGTGCTCCATGGTGGCGAACTCCTCCCTGGCGATCGCGAGCTTGGCAGAGTCGAGGCGCCGGGCTCGTGCATAGACTGGGGGGCCAACCGTGGTGATGTAGTGCTCCACGCCATGCTTAGCCACCGCCGATGAAAACGTGGGCGTGGTGATGTCAGGGAACTCAGCAAGCAGGCGTTGATACAGGTCCCCGGTGGCAAGCATGTTCGACAGACAAAGCGCCCCCACCCCTCCCAGCGTGCAGGGGTACGAAGCAAAAGAGAGGGCGTCGATCAGGCGGCAGTTTGTAACATCCACCAACAGTCTGTAAGCGCAGAGGAAATCTGCTCCCAGGAGTGACGTAGACACGGCGGCCATGACGAAGTCCCAGCCGAAACGCCGCCCGCCGAAACACACTTCCACATACCTGGTGCCATAGGTACGAATGGGTGTGCCGTTGGCGGCGTCCATCGGGGGGCCATGCCCGCCAGCCATGGTGTCAACAGGTTTAGCCGGCAGGATGCTGCGCTGAGCCCCAGAATCGACCAGCAGCCGCCGGCCAGACAAGGTGTCAGTGATGAATAACAGCTTGCAGTCACGGCCGGCGCCCATAGCTGCTAATGAGCGCCGGCCCGGGCTTTTCCCTGGGCGCCAAAACTGCAAGGCTGGCGGCACTGCTTGGCCTTGGCCCCAAACCTGGAATGGTAATAACACCACCCGTCCTCACGCTGTCGGCGGGCCGTCACAGCAGCTGCGGTGCCCGGGTCGTCCTCCGGGGGGGAAAGCGGGGCAGACGTGTGCTGGGGGGGAAACAGCGCATGGACAAACTGCTGCCGGTTGGCGAGGAAAATCCTGTCTGCCTCAACAGCCAGCGCCCGGTAGTCTCTGGAGGAAGGGAGGGGGGGAACTGGCCAGTGCGGTGCGCACGGGTGCTGGAAGCTGCCGCAGGAAAATGTCCCATTCAGGGACAGCAGGCGGTCTGCTTTCTCCAGCTCCGACAGTTCAAAGAGGCTCAACAGGAATGTTTTGAGTGCGTTGTACTTGCCGTCAGCCGGAGGAGCCTCTAACAGCGCCATAGCCCTGGCTGTCGTCGAGGCATCTAAGGCCGCTACCACGTGGAAATACTTTGTAACGTCCTGTGTTATTCCTCTCAGCTGGAACTGGGCCTCAATGTGCTGAAACCACGGCCGTGGGTTGTGCTGCCAAAAGTCCGGTAACTTGATGGTAGCAGCGTAGATAGCACCGACATTAGCCGCGCCGCTAGCAGTAGCATTTTCACCACCGTCGTTGTGTGACATAATTCAGCCGTATCCAACTCACGTCGGGGTCACCAATGTGGAGTGCAATAAGTGAGGAGACAAGAGACGGAGATGCGTCGAGTCAGCTTTACTCTCCACTTTAATATAATAACACACTGTACAGCGAGTGAGGTCAGAGAACGGCTACACCACGTTAACCCAGAACCGGCATCACCTCACACCTCTCTCTTAAAGGTACAGTCCCCTGGTGAATGTCTCTTTCAGTCTTACTTATGGGTCACCACATTATTACGATATACAAACTAATTACCTTATAACAATTAACTTGTGAAACGTGTAACAGCAGAAATGATAGTGACATGTATAACAATATTAGTTATTATATTATAACATGAAATATTTTAGTTATAACAAAATAAATAGTATTTCGTTATAAAGAGAATATATAACAAGAAAAGTTATAACGTGATAAATTTGTGCTTATACAATATAGTGATATAAAATATCTTGTTATGATGTGAAAAACATCTTATAAACTTTTCACATTGTAACGTGATACTGATCAGTTTCTGTTTTTATAGTATGACAGCAACACACTGCCGACAAAGAAAATTTAAGATTAAACCATTATTGAAGTAGAAAAGCACAGCTGAATAAATACAGGCGTATCAAGTCACTCACCTTTTTCTTAGGAGAGGTCTGTTGATTACCATGGCTAACAGTAGCATAGGTCAGATTGCTCTCTGGCTCTTCCTGAGTACAAATAACACAGTGGGTTATGAAACACAAACAGAAAGTGTTCACTGTATTGACTCTCCAGAAATGTCTTCCTGAAAACCATCTCATACTCTTCCTTTTAACAAAGTCTGAAAATGATGAATTAAACATGAAATGAGTCAGTAATCCAGTTAATGTTAATCAGCAAACATTGTCTTGATGTTTAATCCAACTTTATTGTCTGTATGACGTAAAATAAGAAAGATATTAATACAAGGAGTCCAACGTGTGGTTGTGTTTCTGAGGTGAGGAAAGGGAAACATACCTCATCATTTACTGTCAGTTTGTCAGCAGTGGAATAATGCTGTAATGGATGTACAGTAAATATTGTTTGAGTACATATTAGTACATTTTAGGAAGCATATGAATATGATTGGGAGGTAACACAGTTGGTATTTGTCTTGTGATTGTTACATTTTACTCACAGGGTGTTCGGTTGGTTTTCGAACATCTGGAACAAAAAGTAACATTTGAAAGATTAGTTATCATCATTCTTTACATTATACACGTTATCTTTTATACTGCGGCCATAAAATACACTTGTTTGTGATTGACTGTCTGTTTCTATTAGCTAAGTTTGTATTATTGGTAATGCAAGGTATATATAATAATATAGTATAACATAGCATAACATCATAATAATACAATTTACCATTCAAGCATATTGTACATTATGTGTATCACATCATAATACTTTGTTTTACTGACCTGCTGTCACTTTGGCTCTCTTCCTGTATTTGATGAGAACAACAGCGATGACAACCAGCACTACCACCACCCCGACCACTGCACCGATTATGATGTGGGTCTGATTATGAAACTGATCTGTAGTCAAAGGATACCAGTTAGAAATTAAATTCATGAGATAATAGGTAATCAACTTAATAGAAAATATGTGATCAGATAGAGTTTTTGGTCAAATATGGATTTTAAATATTTAAAAATTTGAACAAACTGGCAGGTGCAGAACATCATGTCAGATTTCACTTCCATGTTCTTTCTAAGCAGACTGCACACGACAACCACAAAAGAAACTTCTTCACAAACTTGATACTATTTGTCCAAAGTTATTAGAATATAACTTATACAATGATTTTAAGTAAGTAACGAATTATCTAAGATACATTTAAAGTGACTTCACTGAACAGAGGTACAGATCATACTCACACACAGTACAAAATAAGAAGTACACTGCAACAGATATTGCAGTTCATTCTCAAGAAAGACTCAATAATAACCTGAATAATAATCTTCAGTTTTCACTCATCCATTCATTTGTCTCAGGGTTGGCAAATATGACTTAATCAAGTGTTACTTCAGAGGTCAAGGAGCACATCATCAGCTAACATTAGTTTGTGAGGTTACAGGTTGTAATTACAAGTTTTTATATTTCTCTCTACTTCTTTACAGTATATTAGTCACTAGTTTCTTTCTTAAGGAACAAACTGATTAAAGTGTGAATGTTTTGTCATCTGAAGCTACATAACATCTGCTTGTTGTTGGCAAAGAAAACTGTTAAATTATTTAAAGCATTTAAGGTGTAAAAAGATGTAAACATTAAACAATCATGTTAACTGAAAGCTATAATCCCTAGTGAAATTTTTATATCTGGTGAGCTGCATAGTATCTTACCTGAATGAGGTTTTTCTGGCTGATCGTCTCCTGTCCCTCCTATGAAGACAGGTGTGTAGTCAGCCTCTATCTTTACATTGTTCTCATCAACAAACTGGCAGGTGTATCTCCTGTTGTGGCCACTCTGACGCTTCACTTTCAGAACAGAGACACAGTCCTTCTGTTTGAGGAACTTGTACCCGACACCTTCATCAAGCAGCACAGTTCCTGTCTCATTCACCCAGCGGACGCTGTTTAGTTGACAACGATCGAGTCCAATGTATCTCGACAGAGAGCAATCTAATGTGACTTCACCGTCCCTCTTTGGATCAGCGTCTGGAGGAGATGGAGAGACTGAGAGAAAACAAGTGATAACTGTTAACTCAGTGTAAAAAATGTTTGAGCGACTTTACTTAAAGGTCCTGACAAGTTTCTATTCATCTTCTGTCATCTTTGTTTTACTGAGTTAAAATATGAAGGTGGACTGAACCAAATCAACAACTTTCAATCGGGGCTTGACAAACAAATAAGTAAAGAAAATGAAAAAATGAAACCTGTAAAGAATATTTATCAGTAAATTGAAACTGAGGTAGAATTATTATTTTTTATAAACTGACATATCACACTGACAGACACCTCGCTCACTGGTCGGGTTTGGGAAATGTGTTTTAAAGAAGAGACATAGTGGACAGGAAAAGGGTGTATAACTGGATTGAGGTTTAGCTTGAAACAATGCTGAACACCTCTAAGACCATGGAGATGGTGGTGGACTTCAGAAGGAAGAAACCACATCTCCAACCCGTGTCCATCGAGGGGGTCGATGTGGAGGTGGTCAAGATCTATAAATATTTGGGGATGCAGCTGGAACACAAGCTGAACTGGACAGCAAATATGGACACTTTACACAGGAAAGGGCAGAGCCGTCTGTACTTCCTGAGAAGGCTGGGGTCCTTCAACATCTGTAAAAAACTGCTGCAGATGTTTCACCAGTCTGTGGTGGCCAGCGTCCTCTTTTATGCTGTGGTTTGCTGGGGAGGAAGCAGCAAGAAGAGGGACACCGGTCGACTGGACAGACTGGTGAAGAGAGCTGGCTCAGTGGTGGGCACAGAGCTGGACTCTCTGGTGACAGTGGCAGAGAGAAGGACCCTGGACAAACTGCTGTCCATGCTGGACAACGCCCACCACCCTCTGCACAACACCTTCATCAGGCAGAGGAGTGTGTTCAGTGGCAGACTGCTGTCCCAGTCCAGCTCCACCAACAGATTCACAAACTCTTTCGTCCCCCCATCAGACTGTACAACAACTCTCAGTAAAGGCAGGGAGGACAATAGACAATAGACAATGGACAATTTCTACCTCCATTTGCACTGTTTTACTTCCATTTGCACTGTTTACTGTAGCTAATGTATATATATATAATATTATTTCTTTTTATTTTATTCTTAGGGTTACAGTTGTTAATTTTAGTTTAATGTATGTTTAATGTATATTTAATGTATGTTTTGTATTTTGTATGCTACTGGATACTTGAATTTCCCTCGGAATAAATAAAGTATCTATCTATCTATCTATCTATCTATCTATCTATCTATCTATCTATCTATCTATCTATCTATCTATCTATCATCTACCCAAAAAACATTTGCCAAAAGTAGAATTCTCCCTCAATGAGTTTTCATGGATTCGAGACTCACTTGTCAGAACACTTAGATATACAGTTGCACTCTTATTAGGGCTCGTCCCATGGCGACAGGTGTAGTAACCAGCATTCTCAGCAGTGATGTTGTTAATGGCCAAAGAGCAGGAAGTGTCCAGACTCATCCTGGCAGCTCGGGCTGAGCTCTTCTCAACTTTTCCTTCCTGAACCTCAGTTAAAGTCTGAGATCGATCTCTGCTGTAAAACCATGTAACGTTGGAGCATGTTGTGTCAGAGGGTGATGCACTGGCACAGGGCAGAATAACATCATGTCCAGATCTGTTGTAGAGATAGATAGGTTCTCCACTGATGCCTGCTGGGAAGAAAATAATACATGTTCTGTAAGAAATGACATCTTAAAAATGCGATGATGATTGGCTGGGTGGGCGGATGCCAAGACAGAGACAATGGCGACGAGCTCGGGAAATTCAAAGGTAGCGATATCAAACTGGAAGTACCGACACTACTACTCGCTTACTGAAGTTAAAGGCAAGAATGTTTATGTAACGTGTGAATTTTATTTTCAATATTTATTTTGTATATATTTTTATTTCTATGCATATGGCCGGCTGCAATCTATTGAGTTCAAATAAATACCAAATGTTCTAAAATACTGTGTTTTATTCTTTATTCAGTGATTATAAACATCTTTAACGTTATAGAAGATGTTATAGAAATGTAATTATAGACCATAAAAAATAATGTCACAGTTACTTTGCTGAGTAACTAGTTACTTTTACAATGTGGTAACTGAGTTACTATCTCAGTTACTTTTTTGGGATAAATAATTTGTAACTATAACTAATTACTTTTTTAAAGTAAGATGACCAACACTGATCCTGACCCATTCATTCACTGCCCAACGAGAGAGAGAGGTTAGAGCTCAATTCTCTCACTGAACAACAGAAAGTGTATAGAAAGATATAAAAGGGAAACAAAGAGAAACTGTTCAATTGTAAAGATGTGTTGATATTAATTTATAAAATTTGTTGAGACTGTTAATCAAGATATGAAACAGTTAACAAAGAAAAAGGGAAACTCAAGCTGCTGCTACACTTTATTTTTCAAAGTTAAACACTGTATTTTATTTTTTAGACTTAGCAGAGGATGTGGAAGCAGGAGCTGCTGACCCAGAGCATGTAGCGAGTAAAGCAGAGGAACTTATTGAAGTTCTTGGAGTTATTTCCGCACTTTCTGACCAAGATATTGACCACAGAGTGACTGCAGATTTAGAAGAAGTAGTCCAATAGCGCCACCCAGTGTATTGGAATATGTTCACTAGCTCTGCATCGATCCATAATCTGGAATTGATTTGTCTTGGCTTGATGCGCAGGGTAACCAATCAAGCGTTTGACAGTTTTAAGTAATTCATGAAGCACTGCAACGCAGGACCATGAAATGTAAATGTAAATAGTGAAATAATTATATTTGTATTTTACATAAAATGAATCGGTATTTGAATTAATTAATGACATATTTAATAACACATTTATGTATTTAATTCCAATTTTAATTAATGAATGACACATTTAAGTAATTATTTAATGGTGTATTTATTTATTTAATTGTGGCACTTTTAGTCCTCCATAAAAAAGCTGCTGTTTGTTATAGATTGAAAGAAATACGGGAGAATTGTAAAATGAGGTAGGAAAGATCTGCAGAACAGCAAAGTTTATATTTAAGTTTTTATATTTCTGACTTTTTTACAGTGTAAGTAGACACTAGTTTCTTTTTGTAAGGAAAAACATGATTAAAGTGTGAATGTTTTGCCATCTGAAGCTACATAACATCTGCTCGTTGTTGGCACAGAAAACTGTTAAATTATTTGAATCATTTAAGGTGTAAAAAGAGAAAGCAATGTATCCTAATCATTAAATGATCATTTTAACTTAAACCTTCAATCTCTAGTAATTCTTTATATCTGCCGAGCTGCATATTATCTTACCTGAATAAGGTTTTTCTGGCTGATCGTCTCGTGTCCCTCCTATGAAGACAGGTGTGTAGTCAGCCTCTATCTTTACATTGTTCTCATCAACAAACTGGCAGGTGTATCTCCTGTTGTGGCCACTCTGACGCTTCACTTTCAGAACAGAGACACAGTTCATCTGACTGAGGAACTTGTACCCGACACCTTCATCAAGCAGCACAGTTCCTGTCTCATTCACCCAGCGGACGCTGTTCTGTTCACAAGGACTGCGTCCAGTGTGTCTCGGCAGAGAGCACACTAATGTGACTTCACCGTCCCTCTTTGGATCAGCGTCTGGAGGAGATGGAGAGACTGAGAGAAAACAAGTGATAACTGTTAACTTAGTGTAAAAAATGTTTGAGCGACTTTACTTAAAGGACAATGCTGGTGCATAATGAACCTGGGGTTAATAACACATGTGTACCGAGTTGGTCCGTTCTCTGGGATATGTTTTCATGCTAATCGACCGTGACCGGTTTTAGCACAAACTGTTAATTAGCTTATAACGCTAGTCAACGGGGCACCGAGTAACGAGAAAAGAAATCACTTTTATTCCACTAACAAGACTCAAAATAGCACCACACTTACACGGTAGCATAATGAGGGTCCCTACCTATAAACCGAAGCATTGAGAACTTTGTAAGTGTACAGACAGTTCATTAAAAAGATAGTTTAGAACAACAGTAGCGTTCGCGTATACAGGCGGGCGCTATCTTGGGAAAACAGTCAGGGGTTCGGTCATTCATGCAGATCAATGATCAAGATTTACAGCTGGCGATGTGAACTAAAACAAACGTAATTTGCTCAATACATCAGAAATAATCCCACCGATGTAAAACACAACTTGTCTAGTGTACTTACTCAGTGGATAACTGTCCATCTGGTCTAAGCTAATTAGCAGTTTGTGCTAAAACCGGTCACGGTCGATTAGCATGAAAACATATCCCAGAGAACGGACCAACTCGGTACACATGTGTTATTAACCCCAGGTTCATTTTGCACCAGCATTGTCCTTTAAAGGTCCTGACAAGTTTCTATTCATCTTCTGTCATCTTTGTTTTACTGAGTTAAAATATGAAGGTGGACTGAACCACATGGAATCAACAACTTTCAATTGTGGTTTGACAAACAAAATAAGGAAAGGAAATGATAAAAGGAAAACTGTAAAGAATATCTCATTCACTGTGAGGGTCCCTCATGTTAAGGGCCGTCCCAAACCAGAGAGACATTCAGTTCCATGTATAATGTGAGTTTATGGACATTGTCTTCCTCAAATAAAAGGGGTGTCCCCATAATGTGGAGTGTCTTTCACAGCTGAGGGAGTGAGGGAGGGGTCGGTTTGGGAAAAGACCAAAGTGTTAATTACTTTACCGTAATATAAAGAAGGATATAAAATAAACAGGTAAACTCTTCATGGTTCACCTTAATGAGAAACTGACATATTACACTGACAGACACCTTGCTCACTGGTTGGGTTTGGGAAATGCCTTTCAAGAAGAGACATAGTGGACAAGAAAAGGATGTATAACTGGATTGAGGTTGAGC